GCCCGATGGCATATGTTTTGATTCTTTGAACTGGTTGTAAATCCCACTAGTTCCCTCATTTATGAGTTAAAGGAAATCATTGACACGTGTGTTAATATTTGTGTGAGTTGTGATTTTCCCCTTTTGCTGGCCAAATCTTTGTGTAACTTCGCATATGCGTATTCCTACTCTCTTGGGTCTTTTGTTACTGTTATATTTTTTCTTTTATAGCCCCATGTGATAACCTTGCATTATAGTATTCTCACTCCTGGTACAGGATTTGACCTTGTCTTTACCCCTGCTGCTTTATACAGTGCTTTGGCATGCTGTCAGGCACTTGTGTTGATTGAGATGTGGGGGGAGGATGGAATCTTGAGCTCTCCAGGTTTCTGGATTCAAGGACGAGGGGGCACATCTTCCTCAAAATAATAAAAGTGGCAAAAGCGGTGAATGTTGCTTCTTTTCTTTGTTCCACAGCCACTTGCTGTGATTTGGGGTTGAAGGTAGTTGGTAAGTGAAGTGTTTTGTGATTAGAGATCTCCTTTTAGATATTATCTACTGTATAAACTGTATGTTTTGTTCAGATGGCCATGAAAGTAGAACTTTTCTGAAGAGGCAAATTGTGCCCCACGTTAAGGAAACAGCCTGGGATCAGGACCAGCATGAGTGAATGGAAGAGAGGAGCAATCAGTCAGGGCCCAACTGGTGGTAAAAGCGTTCACATGGACTCTGCATGAAGCTGCCATTTGTACCCTATGAAGGCTACAGGATGGAAGATACTGTTGTTCCATGAGACGCTACATGTCCTGCACGGCCTCTATGATGCTTGATCTCTTTCTGTGTTAGAAATACCAGCGGATCTCAGACTAGGCTGGGCATTAGAATTATCTGAATTTATTTTTTTAAACACAGAATTATAGTATACATCATAGGGCGAGGGAATCAGAATTCTCATCACTGCTACAGGTGATTCTGAAGAAGTCATTTGGGTGTTAATCCAAAGTTGGGCCTTGAGGATTGATGTATTGATCAAGGATTAGAGGTTGAATAAGAGTTTCAAATTTGAATCCTCTATATAGTAGCCATGGAACGCTGGAAGTGAATTGGAATTCCCTGACCTCAGTTTATTTATAAGTGGGACAAGTAAACCTGCTAAAGGTGCTAATATAAGGATCGATTGTAATCTGTGTACTAATCACTCTGGCCATTGCCTGGGACATCGCAAGTGGGCTCTCTAACAATCACCATCATACTTATGTATTAAGTTCAGAAATATTTTAGGTTGTCTGTGGTAGAATAAAACCACAGAAGTAGGATGATAATACATTCCACGTCAGGCACAGTATATTATCGAATATTGACTTTTCTTCTTCCATGCATCTTCATTCCTAGCTCTCAAAAGTCTATGGCCCTGTGTTCACTGTGTATTTTGGCATGAAGCCCACGGTGTATGGATATGAAGCAGTGAAGGAAGCTCTGATTGATCTGGGAGAGGAGTTTTCTGGAAGAGGCAGTTTCCCAGTGATTGAAAGAATTAATAAAGGACTTGGTAAGTGTGTTTGTGTTCAGGTTCAGCACTGGTAATGGAGGTGGGGAGGGTGGAAAACAGGAATTTGAAGAGCCTCTCCTGCCAAGTGTCAGCTCACTCTTGCTTCCCTAGGACCTCCCTCCTAGTCTCTGTTTCCTTTCCTGGTAGGAATCCTCTTCAGCAATGGAAAGAGATGGAAGGAGATCCGTCACTTCTCCCTCATGACCCTGCGGAATTTCGGGATGGGGAAGAAGAGCATTGAGGACCGTATTCAAGAAGAAGCCTGCTGTCTCGTGAAGGAGTTGAGAAAAACCAATGGTGGGTGATTCTGTACTCTGTAACTCTGACCTTAACAGACTGCTCTCTCCTCCAGTGATGTCCTCAGAACATTTCAGGGGCAGCCACATCTTCCATATGGGTATGGAGGAGGGAGGGTGTGAAGAAGAGAGAACCACGGGGGCTTTTGTGTGTTTGTGCTTGTTGTGTGTGTACCCCATGATAGTGCGCAGTGTGGGTATGAAGGTCATTTGCTCCTACTGTCTCCTGAACGTTGTTTTCCCATCAGAAATCACAAGGAATACTTTTGAGTCACTTCCTGAGTGAGTAGAGAACAATTTTTTTTACAGTATAAATGAGAATTATATATTCCAGAGCATTTCACCAGGGAATACTTGTTCAGTGGACATGGTAGGAATGACACACCCTTACAAAGCATGAAACAAGTGACATGTGCCTTCATTTAATTGGGCTATATTTATATGTTCCGTCTCACAGACATGTCTCAGAGTTACTTCCAGGGCTCAGGCCTACAAATACTAATGCCATTTGTGGTTTTAATTATTTAGGTATATCTTAATGTAATTATCACCAATAGAGATTTCTCTGTAAAGACAGCACTATTTAAAAAATACCAGCATTCATTGTTTCCTGTTAACTCAGAAGTCACTGGACTGATTTATATATTTTGAATAAAAATTTGCTATGTCATAATTCTGCAAAATGCCAAGTTATAAAATGTTTTATTTAACTAGATTTGAACATTGTCAACACCTGCTTACCCTGTTTTCTCTAGGTAGAATTTGGCTCTCTTCAGTTTGCCATCTTTGCCCCATCTTTATTGAATTTTGGTAATAAATGTGTGGTAATTATTTACCTCCCATTGCCAGGTGTAATAACTTGTAAAGTGTTTGTCACAATGACTCTGATTTTCAGCTCATATTACAACCTACCCTGTTTTTAAATTCTTCCATATTAAGTGAAAGGAAAGACAAAATCAGATTGTATGTATCACAAATACATAAAGAAATACCAAAGGCCTTCTAAGACACCCTCTACCAATCCAGTGAAAATAAAAGTTGTTTTAACACTTCAAGCCCTGGAATTTAAGAGCCTGGGATAGAAGACACAAACTACACGTGTTTCTTTTATTCTAACTTTTACCATTTCTTCCCAGCACTTTTTGAAAATTTATAGTAAAAAAATACATATAACATGAGGTCTACCCTCCTAACAAATTATTAAGTGAACAGTATAGTATTGAGTATTGTTAACTGTAATCACAGTGTTGGACAGCAGGCCTCTAGGACTTTTCATCTTGCATGACTGGTACTCTACATCCACTGAACTGGGAATCTCTGTTAGGGAACCAAAAGGCATTCACTTCTTGATGAGTTTTTAATCAGGAACAACACCAAGAGTAATTGTTAAAGTGAAGTTTTAATTTGCAGCAAATAAGGAGACCACGGGGAGTCATTTCTCAAAGCCGTGGCTGCTTCAACATGGAAAGATTAGTAGTTTTATTGCGGTTTGGGGGCATATTTCTTCACACATCACATAGTATGTTAGCGGGGCTTGAGCTCTGCCTGGGGAGGAGAATTTAACATTCAAATGAAGCAAAGGTAACTTCTGCACGATTTTTGGTTTGTCTGCTCAGGCTCTAGTCTTGTGGTTGGGCCCAAGCTGGTTTGAGCTGTTTTTTGAAAATGTATCTCTACCTGGAACCCTCCAAACCTTGAAAAAACAACTGAAAACCACCACCATCACTAACACTGGGTATTTCCAAATGAGTTCCCTAGGATCACAGTGAGGTTTCTAGATCTCATTCTTTGCCTGAGGTGCTCAAGGCCAGGGGTGACTGGTGACATATCCATTTCCTCTTCCTCAGACCCTGGAAACTAGCATTCTATTTTCTGTTTCTATCAGTTTGACTGCTGTAGATAACTCATATGTAAGTGAAATCATGCAACATTTGTTCTTCTGTGATCATGTTTTTTTTCACTTAGCACACGGTTCTCAAGGTTCATCCGTGCTGTAGCGTATGACCAGATTTCTTTCATTTTTATAGCTGAATAATATTTCAGTGTATGCATTTATCACATTTTCTTCTTTTTTAACAGCTTTATCTAGCTTGACATTTTAAGTCATATTGTACATCATCTAGTAAAGCACAGAGGTTCCATGATTTGAGGGTTCAGAAAAATTCTAACATAAATATAATTTATTCATGCAACTGATACCATGAGATTGCATTTGATTACTGTCTGGATATATCCTCTCTTATGTACCTATATTCTTAACATTCATTAATAGGAAATAGTTTTATAGTAAAGCCTCTTTAACTTTGGGTGGCAAAACTTTTAGCATTATCAGACCATTATATTCAAGTTATCTGACTCTGAGCCATGCAATTGTAATTATTCTTCCATTTGTGTGTTCCCCACCTGTGGGCATGGGACTTAAGTATATTGTGACTCTGCCCTTCATACTTGCCTCTTTGTGGTTCCTTCTTTATATCTTTAGTTGTAGGTCTTTTCTGGTAGATTCTGGTCTTTTTCCATTCATGATTGTTCTATAAGTTGCTGTAATTTTGGTGTGCCTGTGGGAGAAGGTGAACTCGTGGTTTTTCTGCTCTGCCATCTTCATCAATCTCCTCCCACATTTTCTTTTCTTTTCTTTTCTTTATTTATTTTATTGAAGTGTAGTCAGTTACCATGTGTCAATTTCTGGTCTTGTAGTAATCTTTAATGGAAAAGAATATGAAAATGAATATATATATATATATGCATAACTGAGACATTATGCTGTACACCAGAAGTTGACACATTTTCTTTTCATCATAAATAGTTGGTGGACATCTAGGTTGTTTCCATCTCTTGGCTATTGTCAACATGGGACTTCAGATATCTCTTTGAGATCATGATTCAGCCATTTTGAATAAAAATTGAGATTGCCCAAAAGTGAGATTGCTGGATAATATGGTATATTCTTTTTATTTTTTGAGGAACTTCCATACTGGTTTTCATAGTTAACAGTTTGACATTCCACTAACTATATACAAGGGTTCTATTTCTCCACTCCCTCACCAGTATTTGTTATTTTCTTCCTTTCTTTCTTCCTTCCTCCCTCTTCCCTCCCTCTGTTCCTCCATTTCTTTCCTTTTTTGCCATGATAATGGCCATTCTAATAGATGTGACATGATACCACTTTGCTTTTGATTTGCATTTTCTAATGTGTACTGTAAACCCAGACAGTTATATTGTTTTTCTTTTTTGTAATGCAGATGCCTAATTTAATCTTTGATTGCCAAGGCATCCATTTTAAAGAGGCATCTCCCTCAAAAATTGCTATCTCAAATAAACACATGCTAGCTGCAGAACTAGATAAAGAGCTTCCACCATTGAGGCTCCTTTATCCTTGGTTATTTCAATTACTGACCATTTGGCCTATTTATTTTATTTCTCTTGTTCTTTAAATTGCCACTCTTATGTTTTAAATTCACCAATAGTGAGCCCTCAAAACCCTAGGCCCCAGCCATTCCCCCCAGTGAGAACAGAACCCCAGGCCCGTGTATGAGTAGTCTCTCTCTCCACTCACAGCCTTACGGTGTGTCCTCAGATATGCTGGCAATTTCCAAGTCTCCTGAGTTATAAACTCTATTTTCTAAAGTTTCCTGATGGTTACTGCTAAAGGGCTTTTTGCATTCCTAATAAGCATCACCAGGTCTGGTCAAACCACACCATTGGTTATTGATAGTCTGAGACCAATGCAGAACATAATGATTAGAGATGTTGAGCATCTTTTCCTACATGTGTATATATGATTGATCGTTTTTATTTCTTCTTATACTTTTTTAAATGAGCACAAGTTAAAGATATTATTTAATTTATTAATGAGAAAAATCAATTACAACCAGTTGTAATAAGGTGTTACTATCAATTCAAAGGAGAAGGGTAAAAAAGTGCAAACTTACTTACAGTAAAGGAATGTTGATGTGAATGTGCAAATGAAGACAAAACTAGCTTAGGAAAGTCAACTGAACTTCTGCTGGACAGAACTGAGTTTGTATGTCAATAGACAAGAATTATTTTGCATTGCTGTCAGTTACTGATAATTTATAAGTTGTTGCATAGAGTTCCAAGAAAATTCCGTCAGATAAAGCACAAGGGTGAACTATGGAGAATGTATAGTTTTCTGCTGGAGCACACATTTTCCATACAATGTAGCTGTAACTACACCTCTATATCCAAATTTTTAAAAATACACTTTCTTGAAAGGATGTGCTCTATACTCACTTTTTCCCTCAGCTTTATTGAATTATAATTGATTATAACATTTTGTAAGTTTAAAATATATATGTTGATTTATGTTTATATTCTACAATATATTTACTACCATAGTACTATCTAACCACTCCATCAGGTCACATAATTATTATTTCTTTTGAAAACATTCGAGATCAACTTCTTTAGCAACTTGTAGGTATATGACACAGTAATGTTTTCTGTAATCACAATCCTGTGCATTAGCTCCCCAGAACTACTTCTTCTAACTGGAAGTTTATACTCATTTGACTGGTATGTCCCCATTTCCCACACTCCCCAGCTCCTGGTAACCACCCTTCTATTCTTTGTTTCTATGAGTTTGCTTTTTTTAGGTTCCACATATAAGTGAGGTCATAGGGTATTTGTCTTTTTATGTTTAACTTATTTCACTTAGCATAATGCCCTGAAGTTCCATCCATGTTTTTGCAAATGCAAGCATTTCCTCCTTTCTGAATGCTGAATGATATTTCATTGGGTATGTGTATGTGGTTGACCCTTGAACAACATGGGTTTGAACTGTGCAGGTCCAATTATATTCAGATTTTTAAAATAAATATATACTACATTACTACATGTTTTATGGTTAGTTGAATCCTTGGATGCAAGAATGTGGATGTAGAGGACTGACTGTAAAGTTATACATGGATTTTTGACTGTGCGGGGGGTCAGTGCCCCAACTCCCGTATTGTTCAAGAATCAACTGTATGTAAGTGACAA